TTTTTTTTTTTTTTTTTTGTAGAACAGCGCACATAAATCTTCAAAGTGAAAGTATTGCTGAATTTGCATTCGAAATTGCTGCTAAATTTGTCGTCGTACAATTATGCTAAATTCTTGTTTTAGACAGTTAAAATATACAAATATTAAATGTCGGAAGACTGACTATTTATAGGTTCTGAGCAAAAAAATGTTGTTTTTTTTAAAGTTTTTGACAGTAAAGGAGGAGAATAAAGTTGGGAGGGACAGAAAAGAAGAAATAAATGGGAGAAATTGTACCAATCAACCTGTTATCTCAAACTGCTGAACGTCGTTGTTAAGTTATTCCTGTTGTTACTTTTTTTTTATCTCTAATTCTTCTTTTCAACTGACTAATTATTCATGACAAATTTAAATTATTTGAGTCGAGAAGACTGCAAAGAATAAAAAAAAAAATTGCATCTGGAATTGTCTAAACAGAGAAGTAAGTTTCTTTATGCATCAAAACTGTGCTCTGTTATCATTGTGTAAACCGGTAGAAAGCATTTAGTATCTATAATCAAAAAAAAAGTTGCTTTAATTCTTCAATTCTTCAATGTTCATAGTTGTGCTTAACAGTATACTGGACAATACTGCTGTCTTTACCGATTAATTGCTGTACAGAAATCAATGATATAACGTCTGCACCAAGAAACCTGTAATGCCGATTAAAGTTATTTATTCTTTAAACATTTCTGATACAGGTATAATATTTGCTGGTTTTTTGTCAATGATTTTCGCCAGCACATCAAAGTCTGACCAGTGATACACCACTAATAAACTGTCAAAAGACAAAAAAAACTACTGCAGACAGAAAAAAAAAAAGACTACTTATTTTGTGAACTTTTCGATACTTTTCAAATGATCTGTTTACAAATCCAATACCTGACACATCAATGTTGATCAAAAAATTTAATGAATAAAAAAGTGTTTAACACTTTGTTGTCGTGTAAATTCCTGTTTAGACAAAAGATTTGCTTTAACTATAATATGCTTCCAACAAAAAAAGCAAATGCAAAAAGTGGCTTTCTTCCTCAACGTATCGAAATGTAACCCATAAAAGGAAGAAAGAATGGCAGCAGATAATTGGAGCATAAAAAAAAATTCTGTTTTGAAGCAAGACCTCTTCTGAACTTTCATGTGAAATTACTGTCTCAGTTACTGAAGTATTTTGACTATTTTTACAACATCGGAGGTATTTATAATAAAGAACAGTTTTTAGAAATTATTAATTTTGCAGTTTCGCAAATTGTTGTGCGTACTGTTTGTGCAAATTGACGGCTAATTAGTGAAGGTTATTTGAAACAGGTCACTTGCTGTAAAACAGCTTATTTTTGTCTGTGGCAGTTTCTAAAAATTCTGTTAGGAATATCGTTAGTGAAAATAAAAATATGCTCAGAAAAATGTTACTGAACAAAGATTTTTTGTTGACAGTAACGTTTTTTGGTAATCGCAGAAGACAGTTTTGAAAACCGTGATTAAAGACATATCAAAAAACAGATACCAACAAGTTCTGTTAAACTTTATTGAGCAGACGCAAAAAAAGTTGCAAAACTAAATATCTAATAATCCAGAAAGTTTACTGCAAGAAATTTACTATTTTTTGTCTTTAATTCATTAAAATTTTTTAATTTAGCTTATTAAATGTTTCTTCTTTTTTCATACAATAAAAGCATTGATTGGTACGAGAATTCTGAGTAATTGTATGACAGAAAACTACTAGTCAGATTTTTTGAAAGAAATATTTGATAAAAACTTTTGATGAGTACTGTACTGACAGAAAACTGCCTAACTTTTAGCAGCAAAACAGCTGTTCAATACAGTAAAAGCAGTAAAAAAGCTTGAAAATTGTTTTGACAGTATTTGATAATTACATTTGAACAACATTTGAACCAATAATTTTAAGACAAAAATCTTGAATTCCTAAGTTATATATTAAGCTAAAATTCCAACTATTATTTTTTTCGTTTTCCAAATTTTTTGTTTGTAAAAATAATGAAATTTTGGTTAAAATAGTAAACGTGGTTTGTCAACTAACGCTGTTTAACTTCTCGTTAATGTTTAACAGCAAATTTAATGTAGCTTAATTACCTGACAAAGCATAGGTAGTGTTGGCATACCTTAGCAAAGACAATAAATATGTATTCATAAATTTCTGAAAATGTTTCTCAAAGGTACAATTATTCTACAATAACCGGTCATAAACCGCAGTCTTTCAATTTCTGTTTTTCTGCAACTTTTTCTTTTTTTTGATATCAAAAATATATTACAAAAAATAAAAGCAAATCTTTTAGATGTAATCAGCAGTATATTTTCTGCTTTAACAAAAAAAGAACATATTCTCATAATTTTAGTTAAGATATCATTTTTTGTTTGTCTGTTTATTTGTTTGAACCAAAAATTTGGTGGGAATATCTCAGAGCGAATGCCGCTTAAACTGTTTACAGCAGACGGATAACATTAAACGTAAATCCGGAATTTCAACTGCTGTACCAAAACTTGAAATTTGTTGACAAAACTGTGTAAATTATAAAAAAATGTTTTTTTTTTTGTTTTATCCAATCAAAGTTGATTCAGCCTTAACAATTTATCGTTTACGGTGTTTTATCTGCAAAAAAAAAGCAGCTAACGATCCTTTCGATTTCAAGCAACAAATTCGAATAAATCATTTATATAGAAAACTATAAATCGGTTTACAAGTAAATATTATATCACCAAAAAAGCTTCTTTTTAGCTTTTTTATACAACAGTCTCAAAATAAAGTAAACAGCAATAAAGTTAAGCACAGTGTACTCGATTTAAATATTGGCAACAAAGCAACAGGTAGGGGCAAAACAATTTTTAGATTTCATATTTTCTTTCCACACTATTTTTAGTATTATCATAATCAAAATGCAGAGCATTATAAAAAGCATGCAAACAACTTGACATACAAAAAAAGACCATTATTCTGTTTTCTGTTTTTCTTCCTGTGTAAAACTCTTTTTTATTAACTCTTCGGTAGTTAAAAGATATCATTTTTATTGAACACCGATTTGACCCATTAAACTTTCTTGTTGTTTATAAACGAACACTGAAACAGTCAGTTATAAACGAACACTGAAACAGTTACAATACAAAACATCCCAAATTTATGATGCACATATATAAAATAATTAAGCAAATGTACAAATATACGGTTATTTATTTTTGTACAACTTTGTAATTCGTCTTATAGATGTATAGAATGCCGAGTAATAAAGCGGCTATATAACCACTTGACGTATTAGCAACCAAGTCTAGAAAGCAGATTAAAAAATTACAATTTGAGATATCAATCAAGAACAAACAAAGATAAACAAAAACTGGATGTTGATTCTGATTAGCTTTAAACTGGAGCAATAACTTATACAGAAAAAAAAAAAAACAACAGGAAAATCAAAAAGTCAATAAAGTCTTCAGATATTTAAGTGACGCTAAATTCCGCAAATTCAACAAGCAACAAATTGTATTCTCTGCTGCAACAATGGCATTATTCTGTAAAATCCTCTGCGCTTCATTGTTTGTATTAGCAGCGGTAATTTTTTGAAAATTAATTCCTTGAATTGGTAATAAAACTCAGTAACTTTAAACCTAGATTTGCTGTAAGATTAATTTGACTTTTTTAGCTATCGCTTGGTGCAGGAAGAAGGTAATTTAGCAGTTGCCACTTAATTTAAAGTTTATTAACAACCATCAATAGGCTTTTAATCGTTGATTATTTAGAGCGCTCCAACTTTTGATACTTTGTTTAACAGAGCCAATATTGTTTTGAATAGAAGTGGTGAACCAAACCAGCAGTTTGTGAGATTACAAAGAAACACAGGAGGGTAAAAATTTTTTGATAAACGGATATGATTCTAAGTTAATTTTTCTGTTTTATACTGTTACGTTTTTGTTGACTGTTATATCTTTAAATCTAAAGTTGCTACTTATAAGTTAAAAAAATATTTAGAAATAACTGTTGTTGCTGTTGTTGCTGTTGTCCTCAACAGTCACAGCAGCAGCCATCGTCAGCTTCTTCAACTTGTGTTATTGAAACTGAACCAGTTAGCTGTACGGTTAATACTGAGCCAATAACGTTGATCGCACGACCCGCTGCAGTATCACTCAATATCCAACCGGCTCCAGTTAGTTGCCAAGTGCAGCCTCCACCAATTTGTGCTTCCATATCGCAACAATCAAGCAGCAGCTGCCAGTCCAGTGGCAATCCACAGTGCTCATGCTCACAATCAGGCACACCATCTTGCAGTCAGTCATCGTCTGGAGTATCCGCTGGAGCACAACCAGTAGACAGTAGCCAGCAACAGCAAATGTGCTGCTGCTGCTGTCCATGCTCAAGAATGCGTTACACTTACCGTGACCTTTTGAACAGTATAATGAAAGCAGCTGGAAAACAGACACAGTGTAAGTGTGTATTTTAACATTTAAATAAGCTCGAAAACTTTTTGGCTTATAAATGTTATAGGTACTTTGAAAAAATATTGATTTAAATCTTATTAATTATTTACAGAAATCGAACAGTATCTGTTTTCAGAAGAAAACAGTCAAAAATTTGGGCACGTCATTTCGTGTGGTAGTACCAATCCGTCTTAAAGTTTTTTTCCATGTTTCATCTATATTGAAACATTGTCTGTATTCATTTGAAAGAATTAAACGAAGCTGGTTTGCAATAAATTTTTTTCCTTTAAAAACTTCTGTTTTGCATCATAAAAAAGTTGCATTCAATTTTTTACCTCTATTTGGTTGTCTAAGAGTTCATTCCGTGCGGGCCATTTGTCTCTCTGTCCACCTCTGTAACAAAAAGTAAACATATAAATAAACCAATTAAAATGATAAATCACAGAAAAAGGAGACAAAGAAAGATTACAGAATATACACAAAAGAATAGAAAAACTGCTTTTGTAGGTTTTTTCGAAATTGTCTGAATGCTAAGGAAGCTGTCGAAAGATTGAGACCTAATGTTGAAGAAATGTTCGATAATATTTTTGAAGCTCAGAGTATCGTAAAACTCATATTTAAACAACGCCTTTTGATTCAATTTTCTTTTATAATCTAAAGTTTGTTCATTTCGGTCTTTTATAAAAAATTGTTGTTTAAATACTTTGTCATTTCAAAAATTGTTTTTTATCAGTTATTATAACGAAAAATACGGTAAGAACTTAAAACTTTACAATACTCTAATCATTCAATTCAGTTTGCTGATCACAACTCAGTAATGTTTTACTGATATTTATCATTTGCTTTTCTATCAACCAACGACAAAATTTATGACAATAAAACAAGAAGCAAAGAAAAAGAAGAAAACAAAGAGGAAGAACAAAGAAATTCTGAAGCAGCTGTCTGTCCAAGTCTATTTTCTGTCATTAAACTGCACCGTTGTGTAAAAATACTTCCAATATCTGCTGAGAATTTTACCCAGATTCAGCAGAGGCGTCTAACAGATGAGATAATTTCTGGTTTTAGCTCTGAAATCAATTGTTGATGACTGAAAACTTTTTCTGCTGTGTTATCGACCGGCTAAATCATAGAGAGTATCAGCTCAATCAGTAAAGATTATTTTCGATTGCAAAAGCAAGTTCAGTTTGACAGCTTCAGCGAGATTATCAAAACGTTCTGAATTACAGACCTTAAAACATTATAAATGCTATGTAAAACTATCGATAAAAAAACAAAAAAATAAGACAAGTAAATGACAAAAATTAAATTGCAAAAAAAACCAAATTTAATCTTTTACTATTCTTATTACTGTATCACTGCACTACAGAAATACCACTTATTAAACGCAGTAAATAAACATTAACACTGCTAAAATTTTGAGATAAAACTGAAGCCGACAAAAACGTTTGTTGTTTTTGAATAATAGTTATCACTAAATTTTTAAGTTTCGGTTACGTCAATTTTATCTTCATTATTCGGTCAAACTTTTTGCGCAGAATAAATTTTCAATAGTTCTAACAGATGGTTTTGAAATTTTGGTTACTACTTAGTACTTCTCTGTAGTTTTGTTTTCTACTTTTTTTGCCATTATTATTTTTGTATCAAAACAATACGAAATTCGTAGCTTAATATAGCAAAATTTTCCATTAAAAAAACCGTTGCTATGCAAAAAAGCATCTATTTTATTGTTGTCCTCCGTTGTTAGGTATTTATATTATCGTCGTACTGAACTAGTTGAAATACCGGTAACACATTATTTTTGGTTTCAAAAAGAATATGGAGTTTTAGCTAATTATCGGTATTGAACTTGATAGTTAAAG